GACAGAAAAGCAAACTGAGAAGCAAAGTAGAGATGAAGCCTTGAAATGCTACGGAAAATAATGAATCAGGAGGAGCAAGTGAAGGAGAGACAGTAGATTGATTTGCAAAAGCGGAGTCGGACGAAAACGCATCTGATGAGAAAAGCTCGATGTGGCGCGACGGCCGCGGGGAAAGAAGCAAACTGGTGCGTCAGCTGCATCTGTCTAAGGCCGCGTTCATAGTTCGCGACTCGGGAGATTAGGATAGTAGGCGACAGGATATTAGGATAGTAGTAGAGTAGGAGATTGCGCTGACAAGATTGGATACGTATCGATTGAAATCGCTGGAGAGTAGTAGATTGGGCGACTTCAAGCGAATAGATCAATACATATCTAATCTTGTCAGCGCACTATCCTAATCTACTACTATCCTAATCTACTACTATCCTAATCTCCCGTCAATACATATGTTTTTCATTGTCGCGTACTATCCTAATCTCCGGAGTCGCGAACTATGAACGCGGCCTTAATGTTATCCCCTAATTATTTATTAACCCATTCATAGAGGGGAGGGAGCAATGGAGAAATCATGCGCAATTTCCACTTGAAATAGATTTAATCGTAGGGCTAAATTCAAATCGGATGCTCTACACTGAACATTCAAGAGCACATCCCACTCTATCGGAGATTTCCGTAAAAGACTTTTCATCGTAGACATCACAAGAATTCGGCACAGCATGGTGCCATGTTCGAGCTCAGACGAGTGGGTCGTGCATCATCACGACGTTATCTGAAACCCTGCTTGGAACGGATTTTTCATTATCAGAGCCAGTTTCCCTACGAAGCTATCCGGCGATTACATACTTCCTGTAGGCGTCCTTTAGTTTGACGGCAATGGCAGATAGCGTCAAATTCTGAAGATAGTGAGATGCCTTAAAGGGCTGGGGAGGGCATGCTTCTACTGATGGGTAAGGAGAACGACATTTTGGGACTCTTTGCTTACAAGACTTTCATCATCGGACCCAGCCTCATGATAAGCATCGAAATTAGTAAATATATGAACACGACATAGCAAATCATCCGTTACGAAGTAGAATAGAAGGAAAGTTCAAGAGGAATCGCAACCTGTGTATAAAAATCACCTGTAGAAATCCTCCACGTGGTCTGCCGAATATGAGTGGAGGTGAGACAGCCACAGCCAACGGTAGGATGAACACGAAAGCGAGGAAAGTGATCATTTTGGAAAACGACTTAAGAGCGGCACCGGAGCACGGCGAAGTTGCCGTGTGGGACAGCGAGGATTGAATTACAACAGATAAGAGACCATAAATGATTGGCAGCTTCTATGTGCTCTTTAGAGAGAATTTTCTTATCTTTCGTTCAATGGTTCTTACAAGGGAAGGATACCAGGTCGAAGTGGCCATTTGTAACGAGACATACACCACTAGATGTGTTTTTGGACGCTGATCTCGAATCTGCTCTCCAAATCTGCGAAACGATTTTCTGAACGTAGTTATGAAGCGAGATAGTGCAGTGGCAGCGGCCCGGCCGACGAGCAAGAGGTCGTGAGATCGTTTCTTGGCGAGTTTCACTTTTGCTTTTCTTGAAAACATTGTTTAAAGGACTTTCATTCATGCTAAGTCATCAGCGATTGCCTATCATACAAGTGGAAAGAGCTGGCGAAGTGCTTCGAACACTGTGCGCGTCATTTGCAATGACCGTCTCTGGCACCCGTAGCGCATGCGTCATGCACTTTCTTGCCAAACAGATGTGATTTTCGTGTTCAGCGCATCAAACTACCCCTTCCGACAACTTTTGGTCCAAATCCAAAATTTTGACCTAAAGTCGAAAATGTGGGCACACACGACCGACAGGACACGGCAAATGACGCGCACAGTGTTCGAAGCTCTTTGCCAGCTCTTTCCACTTATAGGATAGGCAGTCGCTGATGATTTAGCATGCATAAGAGTTCCTTTGAACAATGTTTCAAGAAAAGCAGCTGAGAACTCGCCAAGAAGTCGATCTCACGACCTCTTGCTCGTCGGCCCGGGCCGCTGCCACTGCACTATCTCGCTTCATAACTACGTTCAGAGAATCGTTTCGCAGATTTGGAGAGCAGATTCGAGATCAGCGTCCAAAAACACATCTAGTGGTGTATGTCTCGTTACAAATGGCCACTTCGACCTGGTATCCTTCCCTTGTTAGACCCAATTATCAGCTGAAGATTCAACCACATTTCTAAACACATAAAGGAATGAGAACTTCAGACGGTATAAGGCCCACATTCAGTTTGAGTCTACATAAGGAGAACAGTTGCAGTGTGTCGAAATGTCACTTTGGAAGTTGCCCTAGAATGAGGAAGCAGGTCAAGGTGATCGCTCGCATACCTTTCAAAGCGTTTTCGTATGCGAACAACAAATCCGTTGTTTTTTTTGTGTTTCAAACGTGTTTATGCTAAACGATGATGTAAACAAAACCATAAATGGTTTTGAAACCACACACTGAAGCAAGCAGTTCAATACATATATGCACATCAAATGCAAGAGGGTTACCTGTGTGTGGAAGGCCACATACATCAATTATTGGGCTCATGTTTCCAAGCAGTGTTCGAAGCCTTGATGGTGTTGCTTGTTGTGAGGGCAGGGATGGCGAGTAGTTAAGAGTTAGAAACATGTCTGCACTTCCGAAAATCGCGAGTTCGATCCTCTGCCGAGGCTTGAAACCATGCCTTGCAAAATTGCAAAAATGGTTCTAATGGTAAGCGCAAAGTTTGCCTCTAAGGTGTGAAGCAGTCTTAGATTTGACCCCGGCGATCTAGCATGGCTCACTCTTGGCGCGGTTGGCGGGGTACGCCCACCGACTATCTAATCACTCGCCGCAGGTCTATACGTGGCGAGTGATTAGATAGCAGAGAGCGTAGTGTTGAAGAGGGCACAGCGATGAGAGTCGCATCAATGCGCAAATCAACGGGCAAGGAAGGGGTCCCATTTCTCGGGTTTCGGGCCGTTTCAAATGGTTTCTTCTTCATCCCTGCTCCACTGACCACCTCTACCCTTATTTCCAATGAGCTAACATTTCATCGTGAATTCTGCCTTCAACAGGGATTCAGTTGGGAAACTACACTTCTATAGAAATTTCATAAATTGGCTAAAATCAACCGAACCAGGTTGCCAAGCCGTCTGATGGAAGCCCTCTTCACACAAATCATGTCTAAAGTCGCAAAAGAATCAGTGTTAATGCTAGGACGTCACCCGGAAGTGGCGCGCAGAACCCCCGCCCGAGTTCGAGTTCCGTGGTCAGTATGCGAGGGCTACCGAGGAATGTAAGGCTCGGCCAAAGATACTAGTTTGAGTCTCCATTAGGTTCCATCAACGACGGCACCTGTGCGACGAAAAGCTTTTTGATGTGCATCATGGGCGAAATGGCTCTTTTCCGCCCCCTCCCTCTGTATACAGTGGATTGAATGAAAAGTTGAGAATTCCAATTGAAAAAGACTTTTTCTGTGCTTGGATCTCAATATTTAACAGTTTCACGATAACAAATTCCAACATTCCAAATTTTTATACATTATTGCAAGGCACACTAGGAAATGTAAGTTCCTTTCAGAAATAGAAGGATACCAACACAAGGATCGAAGTGGCGAATAGTCCCGGCAAAGAAGCACCTCCTGAAAAAGAAAACATTATCCATTGCTGTCTAGTTTGATTTTCGGTGATCCTTTATTCTCTATGGGCGGAAGTGGTGTAGTGGCAAGTGGCACGCTTACCACGCGAGCGGTCCGGGGATCAAATCCTGGGTCGTGAGTCGCCCGGGCCAACCAAGCCTTCCATCCCTCCGGGGTCGGTTAATTGGTACCAGACTTGTCTGGGAGGATAAAAACACTGACTTGTACATCGGCTGGCCCCCAACAGGCCAAATCGCATTCAAACCCCACTAAAAATATACAAATGGGAGTAAAATGCTTCATCCTTTTTTATCATTTTTATTCTCTACTCGGAAAGGGTCGAGAGCAATTGATACCTGTTGGTTTGAGAGCGTCCTGAATCCACGAGTCGAGGCTTTTCAAGATACGTGCTCTGGCCGCTGTCAACTCAGGTGTATCGTTCGCAGACGCTGGATACATGTCAGAACAGTGAGCTCCGCCTGAGAAAATTAGAATCAGCTGATAGCTGATAAGTTTAGCTCAATCTTTTGGCTAGTCAGCTTTAAACGCACCTTTAATTATGAAGGCGTCTATGCTCTTATCAGGGTCTCCAATTGGAAGACCAAGTGACTTCCATGGATCTACCGATCCGTTCGGGAATACAACCTTGTCGCCCTTCAAGCAGAATGTTTCATTGAACATTTTATTCGGGTCCTACTACACGGATGGAGTTTTCGCTTCACGTTTCTCGTCTCGGGGAAGGCTTCCTAGTTCTCGTGAAACTTGTGGTGGAGGCCTAGGTGTGTACAGCGGCGTCCAAAAAATACAACTCATACCAATTTCGGAAGCATTATTCCCACTTTCCTGAATTCAAACCGACTGCTCCCAACTTAGTATTAAGAGCACATCCCAATCTATCAAAAAACATTATAATAGCTTTCTGCACCAAGGACATCAGCAAGAATTTACATGGAAACCTTGTGCACGGCTAGGGCTCAACTGGTTCTTGGCGAATAATGGACCTGTACGATGAGAGCTACCATCACCAGGAAGCAATCCATCAGCTAGTCACTCTAAGAAATTTCGTAGCAGCTTCAGGCCAGAACGATAAGTTCTTCGTGAGCTGAACTGTGATTGGTGATGACGTCATATTTTGAGGACAGCGAGGACAGTGGAAGAGGGAGTGCTTTATTTATTTATTGTATACGCCATACAAGATAGCGTGAGAAAAAAATGTAATAACCATAGCTAGCGCCAACAAAACAGATACGTTCTCAAGAATAGATAAGTGACAACTATGCTTGTAGAATACTTTTACCTACTGCCCGTTTGAAGGAGCCCAGAGAAGCCGTGGATGGTAGTAGCCTTGCTGGCTTGCAAGTATGCAAGGCCAGCCCTTATCGTGAAAAAGTTTCGTCTAGTGCTTGTTTTGGGCCTAGAAAACGATAATTTAAGCTGACCACCCCTAGTTATGGAAGGAATTAAACTGTAGAAATCCGAAAAATTAACCGCGGATTTGCCTGTCAGCAATTTGTGTAACATGCACAGGTCAAAAAGCTTGCGCCTAGACTGGAGAGAGGAAGATCAAGATATTTGTTCCTAAAGACTGCCTTGGGAATTCTGGAATACAAAAAACCACCACGACGGATTAGAATTTTCCTGGTAAAATTGTTTTGAATCCTTTCCAATAACATAATGTCCTTTTTCTTGCTCGGGCAAAAGACGACAGTTCCGCTCTCTATTAGGGAACGTACATAGAATTTATATACACGAACACGTGTGTCTTTTGTGGAAAGCGCCTTAAAAATCTGGTATACGGTATAATGCAATGCGATGAATGTGGCTACAGTGGGAGCGAGAAATCAAGTTTGTCATTGTAGTGAAAGCCTAGGTCCTTAACCTCTCTAACCTTTTTAAGTTCCATGCCTTGCATGAAGTAGGAGGCACCACCGAAGAGGGACCTACACGCATATGAAGCGTCTTTGTGTGGGAGAGGGGAAGTTGCCACTCTGCAGACCAATGAACTAGCCCGTTAATCGCAGCCTGTAAATCGAGAATATCCTGGGAAGTACTTTATAGAATTTCAGATCGTCAGCGTATTGTTTGCAAGCGACATTGAATTGCCTGCAGCAGTACCCCAAATCTGCACAATAAATATTAAAGAGTATTGGTGACAGCACACCACCTTGTGGGACACCACTTTGGTAACAAAACCTCGGAATAAGCAGAGTTTGAAATGTTCTACCACTAAGAAATTCCATGTATCCACCTGCAAACTTTATCATGGAATCCCAGTAACTGCAATTTTACAACAATTTCCTGTGGCTAACCTTATCAAATGCCTTTGTGAAATCAAAATAGATTACGTCCACGCTCTGTTTATTGTCTAAAGCCATCGTCCAATCATTGAGCGATTCTAACAGATTCGTGATACTGATTTCCCTTCAACGAAACCATGTTGTGAGGTATTATATTGTTTTCGGATAGATAACGGAGTATGTGAGCTTTAAGAATTTTTTCAAACAGCCTAGAGAAAATGGATGTAATACTAATTGGTCTATAGTTGGAAATGTCCGAAGAAGCATCATTTTTAGGTCTAGGGGTAATATATGAGTGCCTCTAAAGACGAGGCACTTGTGAATACATGTTTGAATAAATAAGAAAGTGGAAAAGCAATAGCATGGGCAACATTCTCAACAAATGCAAAGGGGATTTCATCAGGCGTGACCGAACACGAGGAAGGCCATCTCATCAAAAAATAAAAGATATCATTGGGGTCAAAATAAGGAAACGTTTGCACCTTGGAGCCACTGTGGGAGCAAAATGTGGGGGTTTATTGTTATCCTGGTGGTATGCTTGGGAAACCTCTCTAATAAACTCTCTAATAAGGCAAAAGCATTGCCTTATTATGATCATTCAGTAGAATCCTCCCATTAATATCCAGACCATAAAAATTCGGCCTTCGGAGCCTTAAATTCCCAGACACTTAAAAAAGAAAGCTTTGCTTTCCTTTGCTTCAACCATTTTCTTTTCCATATTCTTATTGCATTTGCATAGTTTCTCAGAAAACTTCTGTGAAAAAGCTTTGAATTCTGTCCAAAGAATTTGAATTCGTTTGGCGTATTGCAAAAAGCACTCCTTATAATCATCATATTTTGAATATATGAGGGTAAATTACTCCTGCTAGGAAAAAGTAGGCCCCGGGGACATACAATTGTATGGCATGTTCGGAGAATAGTCAGAAACATCAAATATTTCTCATCCACGGTAGAAACCGACTCAAAGGAGTCGACCCATAATACGCTAAAAGAGGTAGTTCGTAACAAGGGAATAATCACATTTGGAAAATAGCCTTTTGAAAACGGGCACACAAGGTAACTCAACTCCGGTGATGTCAAAAGTGATGCTTAGGTGGTCGCTGTCGCCAATTGATGACTTAACTAAAACGTTACTTATAAGGTTCAAGTCATTGCAGAAAAGCAAATCTAGGATGCTCGAACCTCTAGTGGGCTCCTTAATGTACTGCGCGAATCCGTGACAAGCAAAAGTATTGGACAGAGGGTGTGCAATGTCCTTGGAAACATTCCAATCGGCCCTATTGACCTTCTGGGAGGGTGAAGTCACCTACGACAACCACAGGAGAATGCGACTGCAGTTAGGTCGCTAATGACTTTAGCTAATAGCTCATTGATATAAGAAGAAGTGGAAGGTGGTCTGTAAACTACGACAAGCCTAACACAGAACTCCAGATGCATTAAATCCGCGGCTAAAATTTATACCCTTAGGTATAGATTTAGACAGTATCGTTGTGGAGTTTAGAGGTTTCCTGATAAACCTCGCCACACCACCTCCAGCCCTACGACTCCTGTAGGTACAATAAGTCCTGTAAGTCACAACGGAGTACAGCATAATCATTTATCCAATTACCTAGCATAGATGTCACCATATGCTGTTTCTTGAACCAAGTCTCAGAAAATAGATGGCAAGGAGCTTGAGTTTGGGTGCATCATGCGTTTTTCACGAAGACGCTTCCTCTCTGCATTCGTGCGGGACTCTCTAAGGAATACCCCACGACCGGGAAAGAAGCGAAGTCGAGAAGCGCGAGAAAACTGCTAATCGCGGAAAATGAGACAATGTTTACCCGTGGCTGTTTATAGGCTCGGATGCCCTGCCATGGGCAGACAGATTCCTTGAAGTTG